TCAGATGCTCGAAATGGGTGCCCCATCTCCCCCCCATCGGAGGCCTTTTGGTTTTCTTCACCTCCAGATGGGAGGAGTCTACATCGGATGCCTGGGTTCTTGAGTCGGTGAGGTCGTGCCTCCAACTGGATTTTCTCTCCCCACCTCCACAATGGTTTGTTCGCTGCCCCACCTCCAGGGACCGCTCTAAACGGACCCTTACAGAATCGGCAATCCAACATCTTGTTGACATACGAGCCGTTCAACCGGTTCCTGAGAATCAACGAGGGCAAGGCTTCTATTCTTGCCTCTTCATGATCCCAAAGGCCTCTGGGGGGTGGCAAGCCATCTTGGATCTTAAATTCTTAAACAAATTTATCCCATACAGGTATTTTAAGATGTAGACCTTGCATTCTATCCTTGAGAGCATTCGAGAGGGCGACCTCCTCTCCATAGACCTCATGGAGGCTTATCTCCACGTTCCTATCTGGCCTCATCATCGCTAGTTTCTCCGTTTTTGTTATCAGAATGATCATTTCCATTACCAGGCTTTACCCTTCAGTCTCTCGTCGGCCCCAAGGGTCTTCATGAAAGTCTTCGCAGCTTTGGCAGCTTCGCTTTGCACCATACCGGTGAGGGTCCAGTGCTACCTAGACGACATACTCATCCAATCGCAGTCAACCTTCTCGGCCCATCATGACCTTCACATCACATTGCAGAGCGTAAGAGACCACGGGTTCTTGATCAACCTAAGGAAAAGTCACCTTTCCCCGACGACCAGCTTGCTTCACCTTGGGGCGATTATAGATACGTCACTTTGCGAGGTGTTCCTCTCCCCGGACCAAGGGGAGAGCCTTCACAGTGGCATCAGTCAGATTCGGCGTCAGAGCACTGTCCCATTGTCTCTACTGTCCCAAATCCTGGGAAAGATGATCTCCTGCATTGGGATTGTCCCGTGGGCCCGTCTCCATGACTGGGAACTCCAATGGTTCTTATTCCCCTTTCAACGGGCAGGAACCAGCCATTCTACCATAAGGGTACAGGTTCCTTTTCAGGTCCTTCCCTCCTTCGCATGGTGGCAGTCCCAGGCTCTAGAGAGGGGTCTTCCCTTCAAGGAGCCAGACAGGATCCAGCTCACCAAAGATGCCAGTCTCCACGGCTGGGGAGCCCATCTGGAGGGGGAATAGCCCAGGTGTGTTGGTGAAAGAAAGGACGTGCCCCATAAATTGGCTGGAACTCAGGGCTATTTTCTTAGTCCTGAAACACTTCCGGAACAGGGTGGCTGGTCACCATGTGTTAGTCATGATGGACTATGTCAACAGGCAAGGGGGGACCAGGTCCAGGGACTTGATGAGAAAGGCAGAGCGCCTGGGGAGGTGGGTGGAGAGACACCTCCTTTCAATCAGGGCGGACCATATATCAGGAGTCGACAATGTCCAGGCCAACTGGTTGAGTCGGTCCACAGTAGACCAGGCAGGTCCAGTTGGAGGCACCCCTCTCTGTTTCAGGACTTGTCATGCCGATTCGATCCTCCAACCATAGACCTCTTTGCCACCCCCCAGAATGCCCAGTTGGGCAGGTTCTTCACCAAGTTTCCGACCCAGGGAGCGGACGGGACCAATGCGCTTTGGAGTGCCTGACCTCCGGGTCTCCTCTACACCTTTCCTCCTCTTCCCATTATTCCGGCTGTAATTTGGAAGTTGTTGGAGGAAAAGGCGGAGCTAATTCTCCTGGCGCCCCATTGGCCCAGGAGACCCTGGTTCGTAGATCTGGTGAACCTGTCTGTGGCCCAGCCATGGAAGATCCTGGCATCCAAGATCTCCCTGCATCAGGGGGCATTACTTCACCCAAACCCCCAGTGGTTCAGCTTAACCGTTTGGAGCTTGAGCGGCAATCTATGACGGCTTCCAACTTTCCTGAAAAGGTAATCTACACCATTCAAGCTTCCCAAAAGCCGTCTACGATGCGACTTGGAGGTTATTCTGCTCTGGTGCATGCCAGAGACCCCTGTTCTGCTTCTGTGGCAAAGGTTCTAATGTTCCTACAAGAGGGCTTAGACAAGGGACTTGCCCCTAACACGCTTCGCTGCCAGGTAGCAGCTCTCTCCCCTGTTCTATCCTGGGAGAGATATGCTTCTTGGTCCCATCACCCTTCGGTGCGCAGGTTCCTAAGGGGGGCATCTAACCTTCGACCCCCTGTTGTACATAGGTTTCCCACTTGGGATTTACCTAAAGTGTTACAAGCTCTAACGAGGCCCCCTTTTGAGCCCCTCAGATCTGTATCTCTACAAATGCTGTCCCTCAGGGTAGCATTTTTAGTGGCCGTTACCTCGGCCAGGAGAGTGTCGGAATTAGCGGCACTCGGTACGACAGGACCTGTGTATTTTCCATCAGAATAGGGTAGTTCTTAGGTTAGACCCCATGTTTGTCCCTAAGATAAACACATGGCTTCACCGGGTGCAAGATGTTGTGTTGCCAGACTTTTGCCCCAAACCACAACACGAATTGGACACACAGGTGGCATACGTTGGATGTGAGGTGGGCCCTTCAGATTTACATCAAACGGATGGCGGCCTTTCGAAAATCTGAAGCCATGTTTGTGTCATTCCATCCTTCTACCCTGGGGAACAAGGTGACTGCATCAACAATTGGTAGATGGATTAGAGCTTGTATATCCAAGGCGTACCAAACTTTGTCCATGCCAGTTTCCAGACACGTCACGGCCCACTCCACTAGGAGCGCGGCTACTATGGCCACCTGGTCTACTCAGGCATCGCTGGAGGAGATCTGTAGAGCAGCTACCTGGGCTTTGCCTTCATCGTTTATACGGCATTATCGCCTGGATTCATTTGCTTCAGCCCAGGCATTGTTTAGTCGGAGGGTGCTTCAACAGGTGGTTCCTCAGTCGGAGTGACTGGACTGAAGCTGTCATGGCAGTGAAGAAACGCCTGCTACAAGATAGCACCTTAGGTGACAGAACCAACCTCAGGCCAAACCACATATGTGCCATGCTGGATGTCTGCTTGACCACTACCTGTTTTAAATATTGTGTTTTCCCAAACCGTGTTTGTGTTTTCCCCAAAATAAAACCCTGTCATATATTTTTTGCCACCAAAAAAGGCACCAGTTCTTATTTTGGGGGGATGTTCTCCACTGACTAACCTCACTTGCGTGCATTGCCCCCGGCCTCCTTTTTGCTAACAGGCCTTCAGGAACTTCTTCTGCAGCCGGCAAGGCTTTCTTGAAGGCCTCTGCAGCCGATAACAGCTTTGTTATCAGCTACAGAGGCCTTCAGGAAAGCTTTGCTAGCCTTTCCGGCTGCAGAAGAAATTGGCCGGCAAGGCAGGTGTTGGGGTGTGCGAGGCCTGGCTACAACTGTCCAAAGGTAAGTAGTAGGGCAACTCCACCCCCCCATCCCCACCCTAGCTTAATTTTTACCTGTGCACTCGAATGGGCGGGATCCTTAGGGCTTATTTTGGGGGTAGGGCTTAAATTGGGCGCACATGTAAAAATCAAGCTAGGACTTACTTTCAGGGTAGGTCATATTTTGGGGGAAACGATACAAGGGTTTCTACAGACAAAAACACAGCTGCACCATGGGTCCACATGTGTCCCTGTCTCTACATGGAACAGGTAGAAACCAAAGCCCTGGACTCCTTCCCAGGAATTCCACCCCGACTGGTATAGGCATGTGGACGATACTTGGGTCAACATCAAAACACAGGAATTGGAAGCATTCACCACACAGATCAACTCTGTGGAAGATATATCAAATTTGCATGGGAAGATGTTAAGGAAAATAGTCTGGCCTTCCTGGATTGTGCAGTACAAGTTAAGGAAGACAGAAGACTTAACACGGAAGTTTACAGAAACCCACCCGCAAACACACAGATCAATATTTACATTTTGATTCCCACCACTCACTGGAGCACCTAATGGGAGTTATCAGAACCCTAAATCACCAAGCTGTAGGCCTGCTTGCCAGCAAAGATGGGAAAGAAAAAGAAGGAAAACACATCAAGGAAGCCCTCAGAACATGTAGCTATCCCAAGTGGGCCTTCCTCAAATCTCAAAAAAGACCACAGGAACTTCTCCATAACAGGCAATGAAGAGAACAATGAAGTAACATTGTCATTCCGTACATTGCAGGAATATCGGGAAAGCTCAGAAGGATCTTCAACCAACACAACATATGTGCATACTTCAAAGAATACACAAAAGGCAAAAGCTTGTCCACCCCAAGGATAAAACACCTAGACATAAATTGAGCAACGTGGTATATGCAGTGTAATGCAGCGAACCATGTGCAGATCTGGACATTGAGGAAACAAAACAGCCACTTCAAAAATGCATGGCACAACATAGGACAACAAACCCATCAGGACTAGATTCAACAATCTACCTGGGTTTAAAAGACAAAGACCACTGTTTTGAAGGCAGCAAAGTCCCCATTTTGGACAGAGCACCGCTGGTTGGTTTGAAAGAGGGCTCAAAGAGGTCATTTATGATTCTATGTCAAAATTGGACAGTCCTCTCTCAACAGAGGGGGAGGGATACGACATCATCTATCTTCAGTCTGCAACACAGTCCTTTTTTAACAGTTCCAAAAAAGGCTCCATACCCATTTACACCACTCAGGGGGCCCTGATGACACAGACAAACCTCCAGACTTGCTAAAAGGATGCCCAGCTGATTGCAAGGAATATAAATCCTTCCTGTCCCTACCATCCAGTGGGAAGCTGAAGAAACTTCTTGGAGGAGAAGCGAAATGTCTTTGAAGAAAAGCCAGAAAGTCCAGTTGCCTCTTGGAAGAAGCACCTTTGGGTATGGACCTGTGTTGTGGCTCCGAGTCCTGAGCCTGCATTCTTAGAGGAAGAGGAT